AATTGACAGAAAAGTTTTGGCAAGTTTTTATGAGTGRAACCCACTCACTCAACTCTGCTGCTCAACTCCTAAATGTATTTCATCAATAAATGTGGCACCTTTTAGTGGGGAAAGCAGGCTTTCATACAGTATAAGATTCATTTACAACCATTACAATGAAGAAATTGTTTGTACAACTACATCACTTAATGAGGATGGGCGAGAGATCTTCATTGTATCAACCTGTTTACTTTGAAACAGCAAGAGCATTTACACATCACCAATTCATATCACTATGCCTGTAACAACATTGTATTTTTACACATAGAAAAGTAGATCCATACACAACACTTTCTCCACCTTTAAACATTTATAAAGAAATGCAAAACAAAATATTACCTTATGTTTTCAAAAATATTACATAACTTATTTTTTTACATTGCAATAAAAACAGTACCTATGTGAAACATAAACATTTTAATTATATTGTTCAGAAAGGCATTCTATGCCTTTCTGGGTAACGCCTCTGTACCTGTGCTGTAGTAGTTGCAGRATCTCTACCTTGTGCTGGAGGGAGATGGCATTTTTCTCCGTATCTTTGATGGACTTTTTGAATGTCTGGACAAATCTTTCAGCCAAGCCATTTTTTGCTGGGTGATAGGGTGCTGATATAAAATGTTTGATTCATTTTTTTTTCATGAACATTTTGAACTTATCTGATGTGAATTGTGGTTCATTGTTGCTGGCAGGCAGTTTCTGGCAAACATTGTTCTGAGAGCACTCACATCTTTTTCAAGATGTAGTTGATTTCATTYTGATGACCTCTGGCCACTTAGTATAAGCATCAACAGCAATCAGAAACATACAATTCATGAATGATGATATTTGTTAATTTTATATATTGAGAAATATGTTAAAAAAATAAAAGTTTTTTATTAAAAAAACACACACACAAAGTACCGAAAATTCGTACCGTTAAGTACCGGTACCGATTCCCAGGTACCGAATCGATTCAAATGCCAAAGYTACCCATCCCTAGTCATTGCTGGTTTGTCTCTGTTTCAGCGTTTGGCATTGGAAGCTGATCGACCACTGTTGTATGYAATGCCTCAGATGAATCTGGAGAGTTGTCTGTCCGTGTAATTAACAGTGGCAAACATGACAAAACATTAGCATTGCTGTGTTGTTTGGCCCTTTTAAASTCAATGTCATAAAGGGCTCCTAAGAAAAGTGCCCAATGCTGTAAGCGGGTTGCTGACATCACTGGAATCTCCTTTCGAGGATTGAAGATAGACACAAGTGGTTGATGATATGTAATTAGAGTAAAATTTTGGCCATAGAAGTGGTGATGAAAACTTTTGATGCCCCACACAAGGCTAAGTGTTTCTCTGTCAACCTGTGCATATTTTTCTTCTGCCTTAGTCTGTGACCTAAAAGCAAATGCAATWGGGTGCTCAGTTCCATCCTTTATGATGTGTGACAAAACACAACCAATGCTATAAGGGCTAGCATAACAGGCCAGCCTGAGTGGTAGCATTGGTTCTGGTGAATGAACAGTTCATCAGTTTATCAGTCTCTTTGTTTCTTTTAACACTCTGTCACATTCTTCAGTCTATTTCCATTTTGATCCAGTTTTCAGCAGTGCATTAAGTGGATACAGTCATAGCCAAGTTTGGGAGAAACTAGTAATAATAGTTCACAAGGKCCAGATACGACCCATAAGCTGTGGTACATTCTCTGGTCTTGGTGCTTGCAAAATAGCTTCAAACTCTTCCTGTGATTTATGCAAACCATGTTTATCGATTACATGTCCACAGTATGAGATTTTACTTTTGAAAAACTCACATTTACTTTTCTTTGCATTTCTTTGCAAAAATGTCTTCTATACAGGGCAGTGGATACAGCGCAGTATGCAGCACTGGTTTGACACTCACTTCAAAGTCGCTACATATACGAATGCTGTCAGCATTTCCTTTTTTACTTACTGGAACAATGGGTGTAGCCCACTCACTCCATTTAACTTTTGACAGTATACCAGAATCCACCTTTGGATGTAGAGCATATGGTACTGGACAAGCTTTAWGAAACTTTGGAGATGTTTCATTTTCCAGCTCAGTTTTGGCCTTTATTCCTTTAAGTGTGTCAATTCCTTTTGCTAACACTTTCTCAAGGGTGTTGAGTAGCTGTGACAGTCTTATTGTAGCATTATGAGGGCTGCTGTTGTCTTTTGTAGAGTTTTAATGGTTTGCCAAACTTGCTTGATCTTCCTCAGCCATTCCCATCCAAACAGTAGAGGGCCACTTTCTTTTAGCACATACACAGCATTAACTGCTGTGTTGCTCCTTTGTATGTCACAGTCACTTTGAGTTTCCATTCTGGGTGAACTTTTTCTCCAGTGTAGGTCAAAAACTGCACAGATGTCTTTAACAACTGAAGATGGGAGAACAGTCTTTTATAGTCTGCTTTTGTAGATGGCAGACAGAGGTGAACCTGTGTCCAGTTCCATGTTCATTTTAACTCCAGAAACATCTGGAGCAACCCACATAATTTCTTTGTTCTCCTTTTCAGTCACACTGTGTAGCTCCAAGCAGGCCAGTTCATTAATGTCAGACTCTGATGATGATGATGATGATGATGATGATGATGATGATGATGATGATCCACTTTCACACGCATTAACATTGTGTTATCTCTGTACTTTGGCCTCCTGTCATATTTTAGTTTTTATTTATTTCCATGCTTGTCCCTTGGTTTTTGGCGGCACATGTTTGTTACACTTTCTGCAGTTTTTGTTATTAAACCAACAATCATTTGCATCATGTGACKTTTTTCCACATCTGTAGCACCTTTGATGTTTTTTTATGTCCTTGTTTATTGACATTTTTGGTTACTGACTACACTCTTTTTCTGTATCTCCACGGCCTCTTTAGCAGCCATCTCCATTGAAACAGCAAAATATAGTGCTTTCTCCAGTGCAAGKTGTTTCTCTGATAATAATCTCTTTTGTGTGCGTTAACAATGCATACCACACACCAGTCTGTGCATCAGAAAGTCCAGCTCCAAATTCACAAAACATTGATGYTTTACGTAYTTCTGCAATATAATCAGAAATGCTTTCATCTATTGTGAAAGTGAAATCTCTCTGCAATTACAATTGGCTCAGGGTTCAGGCGGTTCTTTAAAGTGTCCACAATGTTTTGGAACGTCTGTGAGGCAGGCTTTTCAGGAGCTAACAAATTTCTGAGGAGGTGATATGTTTCAGCTCCCATTAGGCTGAGGAGTGTGACAACATTATTTTCCTCTTCCACATCATTGGCAGTAAAATACAGTTCCACTCTTTCAACATATGCTTCCCATTCTTCAGTTGTGCAGTCATACGCCTCCAATTTACCAACAAAGGACATGTTTTCTCTTGAACTTCAGTGTTAGCCCTTAGCYTTAGCTGTTAGCAAAGGCCTCATTGGCACCAATATTCCTCAGTCCTCTGTTCTTGCTCTCTGTTCTTGATTTACATCATTTCTCTTGGATGCAAATCACATTCTCATCACCACTTTGTTGTGTTTGTACAACTACATCTGTTAATGAGGACAGGAGAGAGATCTTCATTGCAACAARCTGTTTACTTTGAAATGGCAAGAGCATTTACACTTCACCAATTCGTATCACTACACCTGTGACAAGATTGTACTGATGCACACAGAAAAGTAGATCCATACACAAACATAAATATTGAACCAAGCACTAATTTCCTTGTTTAAATGTTACAGTTACTCAAAGTTTACTTGTGGTATAGAATTTATGTGCCTGGAACCCCCCTATTTAAGCTTTTATTCAATAAAATGCTTTCTCAGTTTTTTTAATTTATTTTTTATTTTAACATAGGGGTTTGTAATGTCTGCTCAGGCTTTTAGAGCTGATCAATATGAGCTCTGTTAGTCCTTTTTTTTAAATGGGAGCAGTCAACTTAGGCTTCTATTTTTGTAGAAGACACAAACTGTCTTGAAAATAATTACAGGTAAACACTGTGGATGGAAACATGAAAAATGTAATGTTGGTGATTTTCAATCAGAAAAAGGAAAAAAAAAGTCAATGCTTTGTAGGAGACAGTTTCTGTTCAGTCCTTTACATCCTAATTTGCCACTTCCTGTTGGAAGAGGAGCACATAAACCATATGTCAGGTTATAATTGGCTTTTTAACCATAGGAAGTCTGAATCTCTTCTCAGCAGACTACTGAACATGTGGCTTGCAGATTGTCAAAGGAGAAGCTACTTCATTAAAAATAATTCTAGTGACCTCAATGTTGTCTTGTTACCCAGGTCCAGAAATGTCTCTTAGCCTCAAATAAACCTCGGCTGTGGTAGAAGAAGCATTTTGGGTTAATATTTTTAGATCTTAGAGGCTCATTAAGGCCTTAACCAGGCGATTCACAGCCCAAGTGTGTATGAGGCGTGAGTCAGTGTACCCGGGCCCGTCTGCTTCACTGAGCTGCGTTTGCCACAGGCCACGGCTTATGAAACAGTGTCATGATGAATGTGGTGGGAAGATGTGAGCCATCCTGTCTATATTTCCTGGAACTCTGTGGATGGAGGTGTGTTCGTCTTCTGTCTGTTTGTCGAGTTCTCGGTCACAGCTAAATTGTGCGTTTGTCGTTCTCTGGGTTTCTTGATCTGTTTCACATGCCGTCTTGTGATTTGTTACGTGAATGAAAGTCACACGGGCAGAAAAAAAACAACAACTTGCAGCTGTGAGCTTAGTAGTTAAAGTTATCAAGGTTAGTGATGTCCATTTAGATTGAAAAAACAAAAGGTATATTTTGTCTAAATGTCTATTTTTTGCAGCTTTAGCACGTTGTTATCCCCGTAAAAAAAAAATCCCATCTGGTTTCATTATCACTTCGTTTCTTTTTATCCCCACATTCTCACTTGAATCCACAGTTTTCTGTCCCTCCCACAACCCTTCTTCACCTCCACTTCCAGACTTGTTTACAGTTTTCCTTCTGTCTCTCTCTCTCTCACTTCAGGAGATAAAGAAAGACGGGAAGAGGGCTGGAGGGCAGGCGGGCATGGTCAAGTCTGAACTTTCCAACGGCAGGGCCAGCCCTGTGTCAGACACCATTGTTCGAACCAGCAAGAAAGGTACTAAGCTCCTTCACTCACTGTCTCGTATACTAAAATCTGTTATCAAGAGACAACCTGGAGTCCTCAGGCTCACACTTTAAATCCTATTAGTGCAATGAAGGATTTGGGTCAAGTGTTACCATTCTGCGACTGACAGACACTACACAAGTACTGACTARGCAGGGTTTTAGTCTGGTCAGAAGAGATCATGGTGTACTACTAATAATTAGCTGATTAAGTGGTGTAAAATCAATTCAATAACTCTCCAGAATTAAAAATGTCATACACGTGTGAAGAGACTGAAATAAACCACACTACACAGGAGTGTGACAATACATCGACCCACATCAATATGTTGATGAAATGATTAATGCAGTGTTTTTCAACCCTAGTCCTCAAAGCACACTGCCCTGCATGTTCAGATGTTTGTTGAACTGCAATCATCTGAATCAGGTGTGTTAAAGCAGGAAAACCTCTAAAACACGCAGGGCAGTGTGCCTTGAGGACCAGGGTTGAAAAACACTGAATCAATGATTCAATAATAACAAGGCAAAATGAAAACATTGATCCATTATGAAATTACATCATGTCGATTGAATACTTGTGAATTAAACTGAATTGAAACAGACTTTGTTGTATCAAAAAAACTGTATCGTCATCCAAACAAAGTAATAAAATACAGTATTGTGATAAAGCTATAATGACTATATTATTTTTGATATAGTGACGATTATAATGACGATATTATATAAATGACTATAAACTACCAGCTAAGTGATACCAATAGTCACATGACAGGAATTGCYCTTCGAAATTGCTATGAAGCCATACTTACAGGAATGAACAAACAAACAGCTAAACTAACAAATACATAAATAAATAACAAAAGTAATAACTAAGGTAAATGGAGAAATTAGAAAAAAAAGTTATAAAAAACATACAAGTAGATGCAAAAGAATGTTTTAATTCGAATGCCCTGCCTCATCGATGTCATTTTACTCAGTGAATAAATTATTTAATGAATAAAAATGATAAACTAAAGGATTAAATATAAATCTTAACATAGTTTTATGTGTTTTCTGATCCAAAACTGTAAATATTGCAACACTCCTACATARACTGTACATTGCTGCACATTATGATCCACTCTAATTAAAGAGTGACACTTTGTGGACAGAAATGGAAACTGCAGGCTTGTGTCTGAATGATGTGAGTCAAGCGTAATGAGTGGATGACAAACGACTGTAAGGCCAGGAGGAGGAAGTGTTTCGGGGTCAGTCATGTTTAAACTGTCTGACACAGAGGGGTCGGAGGTCAGCACGCCAAGCTTTAAGCATGGGGGACTTTTAGTAAGTCAGTAAACATCTGCTCTCTTACTGGACTGGCTGGACTGTATGAGCTTATTATGGCAGCTTATATAGGATCAACGGGTTTACACATAAACACTGTTCCTGTGTGTGTTTATGTGTTCACAATGCAGGAGAACAAATCCGCAAGCGGCGATGTAAAGCTGCGTTCAGCTACGTGCCRCAGCATGAAGATGAGCTGGAGTTAAAAGTAGGAGATGTCATTGAGATTATTACAGAGGTGAGACTTTGTTTTTTTAATTGATTCCTGCCTTTTTAAGCCTTTTTGGCACCTGAGAGTGCCAGTTGTGTTTGTATGCACCATTTTTTTGTGATTGTGTGTGTTTATCAGTGAAAGTATTTTTGTTTACTTCACTTACATTGTATGTCTGCATTTGATCAGGTAGAGGAGGGATGGTGGGAGGGATTTCTTAATGGGAAGATCGGGATGTTTCCCTCCAATTTTACCAAAGAGGTCCAAACAGAGTCGGATACGCCCTCTTTGGACACATCGCAGGAAGAGCTACGCAACAACCGCACAAGTAAGACCTAGAAAGAAAAAAAAACCATACAAACTCTACGTTTACATGAAAACATTAATTGAAATAAACGTTGCAGTCGGAATATTCTCATCTGGTTCAGCTCGATTGGAATGAATTTGTAAACCAAATGACAAGGGTGGTTTAAGCCGATCTGAACAGTGTGAAAACTGTGTCAACCTGATATATTTCCACCTAGCTAGATACTAATATTTGGGGGAAGCAAAATTGTTCAGTTAGCTTAGAGATGCAACATTTCTATTAGAACTTTAATAAGTTTGTGGTTTTTCAAATGCCTTGATGGTCAAAAGTGTGGGAACAAGGAGCGCAGTAAATTCACCGTTAGTAAAACCTGACGCGGGTCCATTATGGATGCTCAGAAGACAGAATGTTTGTTTATTTTCATCACGGAAGTAAAACTTCTGTTTTTTTGGGGAGGTGAAAGTTTACAACTCTGCACGTCAGTACTTCTATTCTGAATATAAGCCTGGTGCATATAAACACTTGTCATGATAAGATTAATTATTTTTGTGCCCATAGAAACAATACATTATTTAGTCCACATATATTTGATTTGATTTGATTTGATTTGATTTGATTTGATTTGATTATGCCTTTATTGTCAGTGTATGGAGCACAATGAAATTGCATTTAAGAACACCCATTCAAGAAGACACACATGACAAAAACATGGAGGAACAGGTGATCAGGTCTTGCGGCAACCAGCAGGGGTCGCACTACTTTTAAAAAGAAAAACGAAAATACCACAGAAGGATAGATGAGGGAAAAAAAACATCAGATTATATRAACGAAATATGGTACACTATGGTGTTTATGAAAAAACCTCTACAAAGCAAGAGCACATTCATTAGCCAGAGGAGTGAGTGAGTTTAGAGGGAATGAGTCCAAAGAACCCAGCCTCTCAAAAGAAAAACCCATAGTTCAGCCATTAGTTCAGAATACAGGTGTTGAATTGTTCATTCTGTGCAGCTCCAGTTTGACCTTCAGGGGATCAGATTAGATGGAGTGGGAGTGGGGAGAGGTGGGGGAGGAGCCACAAGTCGCCGTAAACACTCCAGAGAAACTAGATCCACCGCCTTCAAGACCAGCTGTTTGGGAACAGAGAAAATGTTTTCGGTCAGGCAGACAATAATAATTTTCCATCTGCTTTAATGTCCGCTGGTACATCCATTGTGGCGAATCCAATCAGACAAATAGTGTGGACAAACCTGCCAAGCCGAGCTATCATCTTCTCCAAGATCAATTCCATCTCGTCAACAAAGTCCAGGAACCACAGTCGGCCCACGACCCTCAGCAGAACCGCTTGCAAACTGAGTCCAGCTCGCCCAAGGCTAAAGTCTGAGTGCTGAAAGCACGGCAATCCTTCATATTGTTCAGGCAGCCAGGAAATGGTCTGAATAGCCACTGACGTTGTTTTGCAGAACACCAGGAGACGACCAAGCCAATCTGTAGAATCCAGTGATCAGAATCCAAATATATATCCAGCTAGTTGAACAGAGCAGAACAGAGACCCCATCTTTAACATGTCCTCCCATGGAAAAAAAATGTTCCAAAATTTTATTAAGAGACCAGCAAACCAAATCCATAAAAATAAATCCATAATTTTCAGTTTTGGATGAAAAATGTAGAGGAGGCTCTGAGCAGCAAAGCAGGGAAAGATAAGGGAGGGCAGGAGAGAGGGAAAAAGTATCTTACTCCTCCGAGAGCAGAAAAACAAACAAACAAACAAACAAACAAACAAATAAATAAATAAATACATTTCAATCCCCTCAAAGAATTTTGTGCATGTAAAAAATGTAACATTTACGGTAACTTTTCTCGTATTTGGTGTGTGTGTATAGGTAAGGACAGCCCCGGCAGTGAAAGTGATGGAGCTGACAGTCGATCAGAAACAGAGTCAGAAATTCAACCCAAAAAGGTAATTAGTCACACATAAAAAAATGATTTGATGTGTTTATTGCTTTTTCAGTTGAGATTTTATGTTGTAACGATTGAATTGTTTTTGTAATGTTTTGTTAATGTGGACCCCAGGAAGAATAGTTTCTGCTACGGTGGAGACTAATGGGGAACCTTTAATTAACCTGGGACAAAACAAACAAATAAACAAAAAATTTTAATTTAAAATAAGTATATTGATAAAGTGTAATCAGGCCTCTGTTGTAGGTGATATGTTCATTGTATGATATGATCAAAGACGCAAATGACGGACATCATTTTCGAAAAACAACAGCACACAAGCATCCTATGGCGTTTATACAAGCATCGACCATAAGTTATCCTAACTTTGGTAAATATCATCTACCTTGTCGGTTGGGCTGGTTTCTCCGGCTTGCTGCTGTTGCGGCGTGTCTCGGTGGAGTGGCGGATGTGGATGGAGTCCCTCGGCCCTCGGATTGTCCCTCGTGTRTGGACGGAGCGCCTGGGGGGGACTTGCCGGCCTGGACGCGTGGCGGTGGGAGCCGGGACGGAGRGACTAATCTAACAAGTGAGGCGTACCAGCTTCCCTGTTGCCTATTTGGATCAATATCAGCCGTGCCCTGTTTTTTCGGTTGAGGATCAAACTGGAGCTACTGGTTTTGGTGAGCGTGCTCATGTCCGACATGGTGGGAACCATGTTATTCAAGCCTTGAAGTGTGCGCCATTCAGCGAAGAAAAGAACAGCAAGCTACTGACTGGCTTCAGAACCTCACCTGATCGGGTAGTAATTTTGGCCTACAGTATGTTACTGTTTTTCATCAGTGGACAAAAGATATTAGTGCTAAAGGCACGGATATAACAGACTCTGTTTTAACCAGTCGGAAACAACATTTAAGACTTCTATTAGTCATTGGAAATATTGAACTTAATCCAGGTCCAGATAAAAATGTTTTTATGTCCACTTTTTTATATTTTATGGGATTTTATACATATGTTTTTAATAATTATCTTGACCTGGGTTTGTGCACAGGTGTATCTTATATAAATCCAACTCATTTACAGTCTACACAGGGATCTACACTCACCGGCCACTTTATTAGGTACACCACGCTAGTAACGGGTTGGACCCCCTTTTGCCTTCAGAAC